TCGGGAAGGTGTTATAATAACCTATAGTTGGGTTATATGTTGGGGTATTTTAGACTGTTAAGGTTGGGGTTAGTGTAAATTGACATATGCAGTACTTGCAAAGTTTCTTGTAGTCAGTTAAATGTGTGTTTAGCAGCAGCATCAACAGATATTATGCAGACAGTCTATTAATACTCAAATGGACCATCAAACTAAAGTGTTACCCAATTTATAAGGACAATACAGCCCAGCATGCAGCATATTTTGGATATTCTAAAGACTCCATCACAAAATGTATGATAAAAGTGTTTGTTTTTGTGTTTTTAAGTTAGTCTTGAAAATAACAATGTGAATGCTGAGCAAACCAGCACTAAATGTAGAATTCTGTTGATGCAGACCAAAAGAACAGAATGAACTAAATTAAAAGTAACCTATAATCTCTCTTGTGTCTTTTTAAATACATATATACATGTATATTTACAAAAAAAGCTTGTGTTTCATAGGCTAAATGTTGCCTTTTGCTGAAGAAAAAGTCTAGAATGCCGTGAGAGTGAGTGAATGTTTTAGGTGAACTGCTTCTTGAGTGAGTCACAATGTCAGAAACAAGATTGCGCCCCAGTGCATGTATACACACACTTGTTTGATTGTACAGACCTATGAGCAAAGATTTCCCCAGTGCAGTTCAATAAACATTTTATGAGTCCCTGCGCCCCACTAAACTCGGTCGGTATCGAAAACCACTTCACTCGTGAGCCGGCAAATAAGCAAATACCACCTCCCCCTTTCTCTCGTTCTCTCTTTTGCTTTGCAAATGAGTTTCTCTTTCTCCAGTGGCCTCTCCAGAGTCATCTGTAGGTGCTCTATGCCCTCCAAACCCTGAAATCTTACAGCTTCGAGCCAAACAGTTTGTTTTTACTGTTTATTATTTTTTAGCATACGTTTCTTTTTTTCTAATTCTTCAGGATAGGAAATGAATAATGCATGTTCACGCTGGGAAAGGCATGTAGAGTCTGTCTAATGGTAGTAGAGTTGCCAAAAAAAGTTTTTCCCTCTTCCTTCATCTTGATAACTTTTATGCTTGTATGTAAGACTGTACCAGGATTTACATGCTACAAGCTGGAGAGCTTTAGCCTGACTTTCCGAACTCTCGCCCCGAATCCTTCGCACTAACCCACTGAGCATGTGGAACAAATTGTCTCGAATGGGGTATTTTCTTCCTCGTGAGGTAGTGACAGTTGATCTAAAATGTTGCAGTTTTTTTTCCAGAGGCTATTATGGCTTCCCCTTGCCGCTTCTAGGCCTCCATGTTTACTGCTGCCTTCTGGGGCAGAGTGAAAAACTGAGAGGTTGTTGAGTGCAGGGTGTCTAAGAGCTGCTCAGAGGTTGTTTGTTCAATATTTTCATTTAACCTCTGACTAAGTGGCTTGTTAACAGGTAGAGATCAAGTCGTGTCTACACAAGAAATTAAGGCATCCAGAGGCACCTTGTCGGTGTAGTGTTGATGTCCGTTTTCTAAACTTGTTCCAAATCTTTGACTTTTTGAGCATATATAAATATTATTATATTTAAGATCATGTTGATTATCAATCTTAAACTCGTGGGAAGGAAAGCAATATTTCCAGAGAAGCAATATATTCACACTTTCAGAAATATTCCACTTTCTTAAATAATCTACAAGTTTTATAGATGTCGCCACAAGTTTCTTTAATTTTGTGTCTGATTTTCTCTAGTTTAAGAAAACAAAAAACATCTTTAATCCACAGTGAAATGGATAGGACTGGGTGTTGGTGATTACATTTATTGATAATAATAAATGTCTCACCAGGAATGTTATAAAAGCTACAACACAAGTGTCATTTTTGGGAATGAGAGGGACAGAGAAAAGTAACAAAAAGTACTAAATAGAGGGCCGTCTTATGGTTAAACCAAGGTCCTGACTCTCTGTGGTTGTTAAAAAATCCCTGGATGTCCTTCGAAAAAGAGTAGAGATTTAACCCCGGCATCCTGACCGAAATTTGCCTACTGTCCATCATGGCCTCCTAACCATCCCTATATCATAATTGGCTTCAGCACGCCTCCTTTCCACCAATTAGCTGGTGTGTGGTGTACTGTCTGGCACAATATGGCTATCCATCCAGGTGGATGCTGCACACTGGTGGTGGATGAAGGGATTCCCACAAATGTGTTAGGCGCTTTGAGTGTCCAAAATAGCGCTATATAATTGTAAGGAATTAAGTATTATTATTATTATTATTATTAGGTGTTACGGTGGCACAGTAGGTAGCACAATCACCTCACAGCAGGAAAATCCCGGGTCGAGCCTTGGCTGGGTCAACATTTTTGTATGGAGTTTGCATGTTCTTCTCGTGTTGAAGTGGGTTTCCTCTGGATGCTGCGGTTTCCCCCACAAATTTAAGGACGTGCGCTAAATTAAAAAAAGCTAAATTAGCTTTAGTGTATGTGTGTCAATGAGAGTGTATGGGTGTTTCCCAGTGATGGGTTTCAGCTGGAAAGGCAACCGCTGCGTAAAACATATGCTGGATAAGTTGGCGGTTCATTCCGCTGTGGCGACCCCAGATTAATAAAGGGACTAAGCCGAAAAAGAAAATGAATGAATGAGGTTTTACAGTATTTTAAAAACCTTTTCGTTCCATATACTGTAAGAAAGAAACAATACAGGCTTGCAACAATTTGCAAAGCTTAGTAAATGATGACACAGTTTTAATTTCTTTGGGTGTACTATATATTTGTAATGTTAACTCTCACTCAGGCCACTTGTACTGGTTTAATTCTCACCTAAAAATGCAGAACTGTTGGTCATGTGGCCTATTAAACTCCTGGCGGTCAGTTAACGTTATGTTTATTACTGTAACAGAGGGAGAGGATAAGAGAAGAAAACTGGGGAGTGCAGGAGGTGGAGGGAAGAGGGTGAGAAAACTAAACAGAGAGAGCCCAACCATCACATTCTGGTCAGGGAGCAGCCGGGAAACAAGCCGAGGAATCCGGAAGGGCAGGGTGTGGGTCCGCTCTCATTCGAAAGTCATGTCTTATTTATTCATTTCATCGAATATTCTCATTGCCGTGTGTTTGTAGAGTCAGATGTAATGGTTGACTTGCCAAAAGTAATTGTGCATTATTTCTTATTCGTGCCTTAGATGTCATTTCCAATGGTTTTATTTATTAAAAACTGGGGATGACGAATGATCGGACTGGAAAGATCCGACCAATAAAACTTTCACCCCAACTTGTTTACATTAATAGCGCACCCAAAAATGATAGTTCTGCCATCATTTATTAACCCTCATGCCATTTCAAGTGTTAACTCGTTATGTAGGGGTGGCACGGTGGCTCAGTGGTTAGCACTGTCACCTCACAACAAGAAGGTTGCTGGTTTGAGTCCCAGCTGGGCCAGTTGGCATCTCTATGTGGAGTTTGCATGTTCTTCACGTGTTGGTTTTGGGTTTCCTCCGGGTGCTCTGGTTTCATCAACAGTCCAAAAACAATGCACTATAGGTTAATTGAATAAACTAAATTGTCCATAGCGTATGAGTGTGTGTATGAAAGAAAGTGTATATGGGTGTTTCCCAGTACTGGGTTGCAGCTGGAAGAGCATCTGCTTCGTTAAAACGTACTGGAATAGTTGGCAGTCCATTCTGCTGTGGTGACTTCTGAAATAGAGAGTAAGCTGAAGGAAAATGAATCAATTTGTGATGTATACTATAAAATGAGAAGCTTTAAAGAATGATTGTGCTGCACTTTTGGACATAATATAAAAATAAATTGTATGTCAGGGACTAAAAAACAAAAAAGCTGCACTTTTAATATTATTCCGGCACTGGTTAAGCAGACGAAAATGAATGGATGGATGAATGGAGGGTATAAAACGGGTGTTGAACGCACAGTTTAGTTTAGTTAACTCTGCTCCAACACACTTACCTGTAGGTTTCAAACAAGCCTAAAAGACCTATTTAGTTTGATCAGGTATGTGTAATTAGGGTTGGAACTAAACTGTTCAGCGTTTTAGGCCTCCAGGAACTGATTGGACACCTGTGGTATAAAAAGTGTAGGAATGGCCAATATATTTTCTTTCATAACAGTATCAGCTTAATATTTTTAATGTTATCCCAATATGATAATGAGATCATCCTGACGTATAAAAGATGATCAATTGGATTATCTTAGAATTTTGGTCTATATTTGAAAATTTCATAACAATAATTATATTAGTTGGACTCTATATCGGTTATGGGCTTTAAAATATAGAGTTATTGGTATCTGTGAAAATGTCCATATCAGTGCATCTCTAATAAACTTTATATAGAAAATAAATGTTATTTTGTGTCTTTAAGGGTGTTTTATTTTGTGTATTAATGATTTGTAAATCTTTAAACGTTGCATGCTGGATTCAAAATCATGCCGCCCACATGAGCACCACACTCGTATCCTCTTATCCGTAAAAATTAGCACGTTTCTAATCTAAGAAGTAGACAGTAAAAGCTTGGGGCGCTTGTTAAAACTGTGCTTTGGTTGGAGCATGTGGAGGCTTGAATCTGTGTCAAGCAGGGAGGTGAGTGTGCATATGTGTTTATATTTGAGAGGAGCTGGTGTTTTGTTCTCCATTCTCTACATCTCGGCTTTTCTCTCACTGTCTCTGTTATTGCTTTTTCACACCCTTCTCCTCTGGGTTTAAAAGATCTCCGTCGCTCGCTTTTCCCCCTCCTCGCTCAAATCCATTCCAGCTGAAACTTGCGTGAATACGCTGTGATCCCCTTCTCGCTGTAGGGCTTGAAGTAATACTCTGTCTATCAAAACGAATATCAGAATCACTTCTTATAATGCTTGTAATTGAATTCATACAGATAAAATTTCCACTCCTAACAGCGTGGGCTGAGATGGAGATTTGATAACTCAAGCCCCAAAGACTACCAGGCTTAAAGTCAGACGGGGCTCATTTTAAAATGACCGTGTGTCCGTACTTGTGTGTTTTGGCAGTAGCTGACCGTGAGCTTGATCTTTTACAGACGCAGAACCGCATGAAGTTAATGGCTGATAACTATGAGGATGACCACCACAAGGCCTCCAATTCTGACCAAACCAATCACAAGCCCTCTCCAGACCAGGTGAGTCAATCAGGGTGCACCCTACAGATCTACTTTGCTCTTTATCCCTCATACTGTATATCTAAAAGCATTTTTTTGCCAAAGCAAGCATCACTGTTGTTATTGACTATATTTATGGTTAGTGATTTAAACAAACTCCAAAGGCTCTGATAGACTGACAGCAGCATTCGTTTATGTTCTTCATTTAGGGGTCAGAACATTTTTATTAAATTGTGTGCATTATTAAACAGCAAAAGCATCGTTTTTAGTTAGAACTATTCTTAAATTCCTACTATAAAGCAGCTTTCCAGCCTTCTTTTTTATGTCTGACCACGGAATGAATCAAGATTTTACACATGAAAGTGGGTGGAGTCGTGAATCATCATGCTTGTTACATACTTGCATGTCTGAAAGTGTTTACCAGCCAGTGTATATTTTTGCAGAAAGTTAGATTGTTTTAAACCCCCGACAAAAACTTGATTTTGGCCTTTATTTGTTTAAAAAACAAATAAAGAAAAATGGACTGTATTTTATGTGTATTTGCTTGAAGTGAATCAGGGCTGTAACTGTCGACTTCGCACATGTTAAACTTGTCCTTTACTAATATATATACAAACACTCACCGGCCACTTTTATTAGGTACACCTGTTCAACTGCTTGTTAACGCAAATTTCTTATCAGCCAATCACTTGGCAGCATTTAGGCATGTAGACATGGTCAAGGTGATCTGCTGCAGTTTAAACCGAGCATCAGAATAGGGGAAGAAAGGAGATTTAAGTGACTTTGAATGTGGCATGGTTGTTGGTGCCAGACGGGCTGGTCTGAGTATTTCAGAAACTGCTGATCTACTGGGATTTTCAAGCACAGCCATCTCTGGGGTTTATAGAGAACGAAAAAGAGGAAATATCCAGTGAGCGGCAGTTCTGTGGGCGCAAATGCCTTGTTGATGCCAGAGGTCAGAGGAGAATGGCCAGACTGGTTCAAGCTAATAGAAAGACAACAGTAACTCAAATAACCACTCGTTACAACTGAGGTATGCAGAAGAGCATCTCAGAACATGTCCAACCTTGAGGCGGATGGGCTACAGCAGCAGAAGATCAAATCGAGTGCCCCTTCTGTCAGCTGAGGACAGGAAACTGATGCTACAATTCACACAGGCTCACCAAAATTGGACCATAGAAGATTGGAAAAACCTTGCCTGGTCTGATGAGTCTTGATTTCTGCTGTGACATTCCGATCGTAGGGTCAGAATTTGGTGTCAACAGCATAAAAGCATGGATCCATCCTGCCTTGTGTCTACGGGTCAGGCTGGTGGTGGTGTAATGGTGTGGAGGATATATCCTGGGCACACTTTGGGCACATTAGTCCCTACTGAGCTTCGTGTCAACGCCACAGCCCACCTGAGGATTGTTGCTGACCATGTCCATCCCTTTATGACCACAGTGCACCCATATTCTGATGGCTGCTTACAGCAGGATAACGCGTCATGTCATAAAGCGCGAATCATCTCAGACTGGTTTTATGAACATGACAATGAGTTCACGGTACTGCAATCACCAGATCTCAATCCAATAGAGCACCCTTGGGATGTGGTGGAACAGGATATTCGCGTCATGGATGTGCAACCGACAAATCTGCAGCAACTGTATGATGCTATCATGTCAATATGGACCAAAATCTCTGAGGAATATTCATAGTACCTTGTTGAATCCATGCAACAAAGGATTAAGGCAGTTCTAAAGGCAAAAGGGGTCCAACCAGGTACTAGTAAGGTGTACTTAATAAATTGGCCCTTAAGTGGATATATAAATAATGCCAAAAGTTTTCTAAATCCCTCAAAAACATTTTAAGTTTTTAAAAATTCTAAGTAAACACAGAAATGTGTTTAAACTTTTTCTTTCTCTTCTCTTTCTCTCACTCATACATATCTGATTTACCCCTAAGGGCTCTGTCCTGATTTATAAAAGCCATTATAACCAAACATAAACAACAGGAAATTACATATTTCATATCCAATAAGGCACAGCATCCTCAGCTCCAATTTGTGTATTATTTCATATTGGGTCATCAAAAGAAAAAGAAATGTTCCCATTTTCTCATTCATGAACGCACATACACACACACACACACACACACACACACACACACACACACACACACACATATGAGTGCTTTTCTTGGAATAGTTGCAGCACACGGGATGACTCTGGAAGATTTAACTGGCTTTGTTCTTTGTTGCTTTTAAACGTCGAATTCCTTCGCCTTAAGCCTCTCTCCTCTGGATGGCTGTCCAACAGGAATTAGTTCATATGGAGAAAGAAAGAGGAAAGAATTGACATGATAAAGGATGAATAGAGAGTGAAATTCAAAGAGAAAATGACAGCATGTTGCATTCTTCGGTCCCAGCTCTCCCAGGAAGCACAAATCCTACTGGTTGTTATGACATGACTTGATGCGCTAAACGCGGTGTGTCATACCTGTCGGTGGACTGCTGGAGTTCAAGTGCTACATCCTAATTCACATGCTAAAAGAAACCCATCAGTCAGCTATGTTCTGCCCAGAACTCAGTGCATATCCCAATATTCCCATCCATGTATGTACTGTATGCTCATTGAAACACACACTCAATTGCACACTCAATCTCTTACGCACACACAGAACTCTGCCATCCCAGGGAATCTCCCCCATCACAAACTCTTTTCATTGTCTTTCTCGATTGCCAAGAAAACACTTAGCTCACATTTTCCCTATGATCTTTATTTCTCACGTACACATTTCCAACTTAAGTAAGAGCACCCTCACACATCAACACCTGAGCCCTCTCCAAACCTCTCCGATCACACTGTTATCACCTAAACACCACCACGGCAGAGCTGGGACCATCAGGGACCTCAGAAAAGCATTCATTACAGGTATTTTCCACAGCCATCCAGGATAGATGGGGTAGAGGTTACGTGTGTTACTCATTTTGAGCTAATACTGCCATGGTTTCAATTCCTGTTTCAGCAAAGCCTCCCATTTTCTGGGTGAAAGCAGTTACTTTTAATGCACTGTTTCACTTGGGTTCAATGACAAACTAATCAGCCTTAACTCACTGTTGAGATATGGGGAAATTAATGAGAAAGTGGTGTCTTCTGTGTTACATTAAGCATTTTTTTTTCACAACATGTAGTAGTATAGACTCACTACTGGAGAAAATGCTCACTAAACATGAACTTTCAATGCAATTAACGGCTTGCTCTCACCCACTAATAACTTCTTTCTCCAATCCCATGCTGCCTTGGATTAAACCTGCACTAATTTTCCACCAATAGGACGATGAGGAGGGCATTTGGGCATAGCCAATCATGTGCCCTCTACCAGCCATTTTGTTCAGAAGGGTGAGAAACGTCTACATATACATGGGGAATGACGCTCTTCCTCTTGTATTTCATCATTTGTTTTTGAGTGTGTTTTTCCAGCATCTTTTCTCGTTGTTCTTGTGTTTCATGTGATTTTATTTTGTTATGTGTGTTTTTTTTGTCTGCCTCATTTTGGTATACATATTTGTGCCGCTTGTGTGTTTATATATTAATTTTATCCTCATAAACTGTCAAACAAGACCTGCATATATCATACAGAGAACATGTTATCGTATAAATTAGCATGTCATTCATTTGCAATGATTTATTTTTGATTGTAGCATTCAAAGAGTATTCTTATTGATTAATTTACATATTTGTTGTTTTTTGGGACCAAATCTTAGAGAATTATGCATACAGTACATATTTAAATCTTGTGTTTAGGCCACTTTGAATTGGTGCCATACATTGTTTAGCAAGAAGGTCGTTGGTTTGAGTCCTAGCTGGGTTTGTTGGCATTTCTTTGTAGGGTTTGCTTGTTCTTTCGGTGTTGGCGTGGGTTTCCTCCGGGTGCTCTGTTTTCCCCCAAAGACGTGATCTATAGGTAAATTGGATAAACTAAATCGGCCGTAATGTATGAATGTGAGCTTGTTTGGGTGTTTCCCAGTACTTGGTTGCGACTGGAAGGATTCCGCTGTGGTAACCCCCCATAAATAAAGGCTGATTTATACTTCTACCAGAAAGACCAGGGAGATAATTATGATATTAAATTACATTTATTGATGAGTATTATTTTAACAAGAGTATCATTTAACAAAACATAGGATTTCTTTGGTGGAGGCCCCCCTCCGTAGCTTTTAGATCTAGCTCTCACTGCTGAGGATAAAGGCTGGGGCGGAGCCTTCCCCCCTGGACCCCCTGGTGGTGGGAAGGATGGTGGGTGAACATCTGCGTCTGTACCTGCAACCAAATGAATGAAATGAATGGTCAGCTTATGTATTCTTTGTGTCTCGTGGCTATTGGTTGGAACTGATTTTGATGAGTGACGTGACATTAGGTCTTCCTGGTGATCAAAGACACATTTCTGTGTCAAACACATGTTTATAGTCTGGCACAACCTGTGCCTGTCGCATACTCCTCGTCATAGCCATCGCCAACACCGACGCTGACGCGCACCTCTCAAAAAATGTAACTACACATCGCAAGGAGGCGTAGCGCAAGCTCTGTGGTTTATCTGCTTGGTAGCACTGACGAGTGTGTGCGGGCGTGAGAGTTACGCAAACCCATTGAAGCGAGTGTTTACAAGCGTCGAGGCCCGTGAAGGAGCTCCAGGTGGAAACTGTTGTTTTGTGTTTACCTTACGATTAAAGTTGTTGCATGTCCGCCAGTTCCTGCCTCAGAATGAGCGAGTTTGAGCTACTTCTAAATTAAGGTTGCATTCAGAAAAAGAAAACACTAGCGAGAAACATGACACAGAGAAACATAAAAACCTAATGCCAGTTAGCATTTCGGAAGTGTTATTGCAGAGCAACACAAACAGCATGCTGAAGTATAAATGCACATTTATAAATCAGTATATAAATCACACTGAACTGAGCTAAACTGAACTGAACTGAACTTAAACACTAAAAACTGAACTACACTGTTCCAGTTACTATGACCATTTATGTGAAGCCTGCT